AGTAGCAACAGCACCCCCAGAACCAGTGCCTCCAACTCCATTAGCAACAGCACCCCCAGAACCAGTGCCTCCAGCTCCATTAGCAACAGCACCCCCAGAACCAGTGCCTCCAGCTCCACCACCAGGACTGCCCCAACGAACAGCCCACTCGGGAAGCTGCAGCGGCGAGAGCGACTCCTGCCGACTAGCACAACTAACTCCAGTACCTCCAGCAGCACCTCCAGTAGTACCTTCAGTGCCAGCATCTTCTGCAACTCCAGCTGTACCTGCACCTCCAGCACCTCCAGCAGCGCCTGTGCCTCCAGTACCAGGAACACTAGCACCAGCACCTCCAGGGCTAGCACCTCCAGAACCTGAACCTCCAGCACCTCCAGCAGCACCTGTGCCTCCAGTGCCAGGAACACCAGCACTAGCACCTCCAGGGCTAGCACCTCCAGAACCTGCAGCTCCAGCACGTCCAGCGCCACCACCAGGACTGCCCGCAGCAGTACCCACAGCAGCAGCACCTCCATTACCTCCAGCTCTAGGAGAGCGAGCACGGCTAGCTCCACCACCTGTGTTGCCCTACTGCACAACCCACTCGCGAAGCCGCTCCGGCGAGAGAGTCGCTCGCCGACGTGCACCAGTGCCACCAGTACGAGTAACCCCAGTACCACCAGTAGCAGAACCTCCAGCTCCAGCACTGCCAGCACCTCCAGCTCCAGCACTCCCAGCACCTCCAGCTCTAAGACGGCTAGCTCCACCACCAGGGCTACCCCACTGGACAGCCCACTCGCGTAGCCGCTCCGGCGAGAGAGCCTCCTGCCGACTCGTAGCAGGACCACCAGCACCAGTACCTCCAGTACCTCCTATACCCAGAGGACACTCAGCACCCCCACAACCAGCACCCCCAGAACCAGCACCCCCAGAACCAGCACCCCCAGTGGTACCACCTCCTGCAGCACCAGAGTCCACAGCGACAGGCTGCAGCGGCGGTGAAGACGGTCGAGGCGGAAACCCAGGAGTGACAGCCAAGCGTGCAGAGCGGCGAGGGGTCACGGTGGCAGCAGGAGTCGGGTCACCTCCCTTAGCTGGGCCAAAGGTGTCTGAGAAGACCTCCAAAGGCTCAACCAAGGGGGGTGGGTCTACCTGAGACACACCTGAGGGAGCGGGACCGTGAGGAGGGAGGGGGGCTACCGGGGGGGGGTCGTCCACCAGGGAGAGAGGCGGGAGGGGTACCGGGGAACTACGGTGGGGGTGAAGACGGTAGAAGCAGACGGACTCATCAAAGGTGGCGTCGCGGAAGGACAGCACACGACGAGAGCCCGGGTGGTAAAACTGCCAGGGCGGTGCGTTGGTGGGAAAGTCAAGGAACACACACCGAAGAGTGCGTGGAGAGAGCTTGCTCGCAGGCAAATCGCGGACAAGAAAGAGGGAAGCCCAGACCCGAACCGCCGACGCATCACCAACCTCGCCCGTCCACCGCAAAGTGGGGGAGGTCTCCGGGTGGGAGACACGGGTCCAGAGGTTGAGCTGCTCAGCGGCGTATCGGACCGCAAACGGCCACAGAAAATGGGGAGCAGCCGCATGGATCATGGAGGTGCGAGCAACCTCCTTGACAAGACCAATGCAGCGCTCGGAAATCCCATTCTGCTGAGGAGAGGCCGGAAGCGTGTACGACTGGACAATGCCCTCAGCACCACAGAAGTCCTCAAGAATGCGGGAGCAAAACTCACAACCTCGGTCAGACTGCAGCCGCAGGACAGGGAGGTCCTGCTGGAACCGAGCGCGAAGCTGGAGACGGACAGTGCGGATCCAGCAGATCAAGACACCGCGGACATCCACCTTGCTCTGCAAGGTGAAGACCGTAGTGTAACGCGTGTAGTCGTCGACAACCAGCAAAAAGTAGCGCTCGCCACCCTGTCCAGTGACGCGGGCGGGGCCCCACACGTCCATGTGCAGGGTCTGCAGAGGAGCAGTGGTAGGAGGAAACGAGGAGGAGTGAGGAGCAGCGCGCTGCCGCCCCTCGACGCAGGGAAGGAGACGGGAGTGCATGCGACCTCGGGAGCAGGGGCAGGGACCTGGGGAGACCAGACAGAAGGAGACGGGAGTGCATGCCACGCAGGCGTGAGAAGGAGGGGTGGCCCAGACGGTGGTGCCAGAGGAAAGTCTGGTGCGTGAGGAGACGACACGAATAAGACGAGGCGACCTCAACCGACGCAGCTACCTGACCTGACTCAGCTACCAGTGCAGACTCAGTGGTCAGTGTGTACAGGCCAGACCCAGGCCTCTGAGTGAACGTGGCGAGGTGCTCACCAGTGCGTGAGTTCGTACAGATCGCCACTAGCTCGCCTCCAGGCTGGGTGACAGTGACCCACTGGTCCTGGAGGACAGAGGTAGCCACCAAGTTCTTAGCGAACGAGGGGAGGTGGAGACCTGTGAGGAGGCCCGAAGGGGCCGCCGGACAAGGGAGAATAGTGGCGCCATGCGCGACTACCGGGCCCCCAGAGGGGTCGGCCAGTGTGACAGGGACAGGGACTGTGAGCGGTGTGACTGTGGTGCTGTCGCGGAAGAAGCAACGAGACGCTCCTGAGTCGAGAGTAAAAGTGTGCAAGGCCTCCTCAGGCTCTGCACCTGTGCTAGCTGAGTCAACAGCACCAAGACTAGCTGCCTCTACGCCACCAGGTGCCTCTCCACCCCCAGCACTAGTACCCCAAGCTCCGCCACTGGGGTTGCCCCACTGGAAAGCCCACTCACGAAGCTGCTACGGGGAGAGAGTCTCCGGCGGACGCTGCTGCCGCTGCTGTCCACCCCCAGAACCTCCGCGTCTACCAGCGGCACTACCAGCAGGAGAGTAGACTCACAGGGACCTCTAGTAGTAGCACACCAGGCTCCGCCACCGGGGCTGCCCCACCGGACAGCTCTCTTGCGAAGCTGCAGCGACGAGAGCGGCTCCCGCCGACGAGTACGAGGACCGCCAGCACCAGCACCTCCAGCCCTAGCACGGCTAGCTCCGCGACCGGGGCTGCCCCACCAGATAGCCCACTCGCGAAGCTACTGCGGCGAGAGAGACTCCTGCACACTCGGCTGCCGCTGACGTAGGACAGTGGTAGTGGCCATGGCAGGCAGTGGCAGCTAGTAGCAGCAGCTGCGTAGCAGCAGTAGCACAGGCGGCAGTAGCAGCGTAGCAGCACTCGGAGTAAGGCGGCACTAGCGCAGGGTAGGGCAGCGCAGGGCAGCGCACTCGGGTGGCAGCAGCACCTAGGGCGGCAGCAGCAGGCGGTAGCACCTAGGGCGGCAGCAGCAGGCAGCAGCACCTAGGGCAATAGCAAGCAGTAGTTCCTAGGGCTTTGTGTGTTTGTTTTTTTGTTTTTTTTTTTTTTAGTGTTTAGCAGGGCGCGCTGGGCGCTGGGCAGCAGGGCGCGCTAGCGCGCTGGGCAGCGGGGCGCGCTGGCACGCTGGGCAGCGGGGCGCGCTGGCGCGCTGGGCAGCGGGGCGCGCTGGGCAGCGGGGCGCGCTGGCGCGCTGGACAGCGGGGCGCGCTGGCGCGCTGGGCAGCGGGGCGCGCTGGGCAGCGGGGCGCGCTGGCGCGCTGGGCAGCGGGGCGCGCTGGCGCGCTGGGCAGCGGGGCGCGCTGGCGCGCTGGGCAGTGGGGCGCGCTGGCGCGCTGGGCAGCGGGGCGCGCTGGCGCGTTGGATGGCGTGGCGCGCTGGCGCGCTGGGCAGCGGGGCGCGCTGGGGCACTGGGCAGCAGGGCGCGCTGGCTCGTCGGGCAGCGGGGCGCGCTGGCGCGTTGGGCAGCGGGGCGCGTTGGCGCGCTGGGCAGCGGGGCGCACTGGCGTGCTGGGCAGCAGGGCGCGCTGGCGCTGTGGGCAGCAGGGTGCGCGTGCAGAGCGCGCAGGAAGGCAGGGCGGCGCAGGTGCAGGCAGAGCGCGTGCGAACAGGGCGGCGCTCAGGCAGGGCAGCAGGGCGCTCAGTAGCAGGGCAGCTGGGCGCGCGCGGGCAGGGCAGTAAGGCGTGCGCTGGCGCTAGGCAGCAGGGCAGGAAAAAAAGATTCAAGTCCGGGCAGGGCGGAACGTTCGGTGGGCCCTAAGGAACAGGAATGTGTGCATTGAGTAGGATGGGGATACAAGTAGTAAACCCTAAAAGGGTTGTCCCCTCTACAGTGTACCCCAGTCTAGACTACATCACTATAAGTGCATACTTTGAGAGTTGATACGAATCCCAAGTGGTGTGGCCCCCTTTGTTGAAACACAGCTATTGGGTAGTGCACCTACCTGCTGTCCAAATATGACATCGTAGTGTTTTCTAGCTGGAAGTAGCAGTACACTAGGAACATTTGCGACTGGACCTGGCTTCAAGTATTCATTATGTCACCAGCTTCTTTTACCATCTGGTTGAAGGACGAGTAGTACCGTATAGTATTCGTGTGTCTGTGACTGGAGAGTGAGTCGTAGGTTTTGTGCATAGTCAGCAAAAAAATGTGGATTCTTTCAGAACAGATGCTTGTTTTCCTGCCATTTTTTTCCTTCGGAAATAAACATGAAATCTAGGTACTAGGATTTCTAGTGTAAGGGTACGTTCTTGGCTGGTATCAGGTTCGCTGACACAAGGCAATTGGATGATTTCGATCATTCCACGTCATCTTCGTCAAAATCTACCAGAATCTCAACCCTTCCCAGCTTCGTGTCAGGATTCTAGACACCAGCCAAGAACGTACCCTAAGATGGCACTTTCGTCTGATTTCAGCGTTTTTTTTTTTTTTTTTGCCAACTTTGAAATTTCAAACTAGCCCGAAACCAATCTGAGGCCCTGGTTTTGACACTGATACGGAGTGACATTCACCCTCACTCACGAACATGGGTTGAAATTTCATTTGTTCAGCACACGTGGACAAGGCCATCGTGAGGCTGGTCATAAGAGAACGCACATGAAGCGGGCGACATTAGTCAAGCTTGAGGTGGGACGAGTGGTTGTGCACAGGGTGATATGCGGTACTCCCGTAGGGTGATAAGTGCAAGGTTACGGGAGGACGAGACGCTGGCCGGAGTAGATTCTGTTGATGTCACAGACCTGCAGTCAAGCAAAAGGTATGCGAAACAAGTAGAGTAATGATCATACAGAATAATAATAATGGCACAGCGTAGGAGCAATCTGCTACGTGACAACATAAAGTGATGGGTGTGATGGAAGAAATGAGATGTGACATATCACGAAGGACCACAAGGGTAGCAAATTGAAAGCATATAAAAAGAGGGAAGGGTTCAATGCATGCGGAGACGGGGAGGGGGGGGGGTTGTCGTACCTCTGGGTTGAGCTCGAAGAACTTCGATGAGGGATTGCAGTAGACTTCACGCGGGAGGATAGAGCTGAGGGTTTCGCCCGGCTTCACCACCCACACCCTACGTGCGTGGCGTGGAAGGGTGGTACGCAAGGGAGTGGAGCGGAAAGGAAACGATTGAAATTTAGGAGGGGGCAGGGGAATTATAAGGTCTTACAGGTGGGAGGATATACTGCAGGGGAATACGTATGGCAAAAATTGCCAGAATTGGAGGGGTATGCATAATAGAGAGCGGGAGAACTAGGGAGAAATTAAAGAGAGAAACAGAGAGGAAGGCAGTGCAGGGGGAGGGAGGGGGGGGGTTGGCGGGAAGGGAAGGTAGGGAGCACCACTCACTTGCCATCAGCATCAGTTCTGAATATTGGGATTCGAAGGAGCCAAAGCGTGCAAGTAACGATGCCAGTGACCATCAGCATCCGGAGCCAAATGCAAATGAGAAGTCCATGCAACGCAAGCAGGGTGCAATCGAGAAAATGATCATTAGCAAGTAGATGGGGTCGATCAATACTCAGTCAGCTCACTCTGAGCAGCACGAGTGCAGTTGATTAGCAAAGAGAAGCGATGTGAGGCATGAAATTCCAAAAGAAAATGGGGGCAGCAGTGGTGGTCAGGAAATGTCAATGTGACATGTCATGCCCTGCAGAGATGGGACCTGCTGGCAGTGCGAAATGCGTGACAACAAGCCATGCCTGGTGGGAGCGCAAATCACACAACTCACTCCAGCTGGACTCGGCTCTGCTTCTGTGGGCGCGGCCAGAGCGCAACCATAGCCAGCATGAACGCGCCCGTCCCCAGCACCTGCTTCATCACAGGCGTGAGCCCATCACCAACCCGCAACACCTGCCCCAGCAGCCCTCCGTTGCGATTCCGCCCCTTGCCGGACGCCCCCCTGCCCCTCTTAACCACCTGCCTGTCCGTCATCCCTGATAACGACGACCCTTCCATGCTCTCCACCTCATCCCCGCTCTCCCAGCTGCTCTCTGCGGCTTCACTGTCTGCCACCGCTGGCTGTTTGCTGCTGCCAACACGGCCATTGAGGTCAGCTGCAACCCCACCGCCTCCTCGCACGCTAGACTGCTCGCTCGCCCTGCCTGTCGTGCTGCTCATAGCGGCCTGCACGGAAGCCCCTGCAGATGCTGCTGCTGCTGAGGCGGCGGCCTTGGTTGAGGTTGAGACTGAGGCGACCTTTGCTGATGTCATGGTTGTTGCTTCGCTGGCGACCTGCGTGGCGGTCTTGATGATGGTGACGTCAGTCTTGGTGGTGGTTGCTGATGCCGTTTGCTGCAAGCCACATGATCACCGTCAAACATGGACGCACAGAGAATGAATATGTTGACCTAAATAAAAATCACCGAGCTGGGGAATGCTTTGCTACAGTCAAAAGAAAACCAGCACAGGCTTCACACCCCCAAACAACGCAACCTGCTACACACGTCTGCCAAACCATGACAACTGCGCACATGGGTTTGCACGCACCTGTGCTGATGTGACCTGAACCTCCTTCTGCACCTCTTTCACCACCTCCACTGTTGCTGGTGCAATCGAGTCAGGACCCTGAACCTGCACCACCTGAGCAGCTTGAGAAACCGAAGCAGCAGCAACCTCAGGGACGGAATCAGGGACAGCAGTAGGAACCACAGGCGAGGCAGCAGCAGGGACAGGAGCTGCAGCGACCGGTGCAGCAGGAGCGACCTGCGCACTGAAAGACTCTTCAAGTGACGACTCCGTATAGCCAGACTCGTCATCGCTACCATCAAACACCAGCATCATGTTGGACATATCCACAGGAACCCCAGCAGCTGCACTCGCTGCGACCGCTGTAGTCACAGCCGCGCTTTCCTTCTGGGCAGCAGCTAACACGGTACTGGTCGCTGTGGACGCCGTGACCGTACCGACTGCAGCAGCTTCTGTTGTCGCAGTTGTGCTGGTGGTGACGGTGGTGGTGGTGGTCGTTGTTGTAGTGGCAGCAGTCAGCTCTGTGGTGCTCGCTGCTGCTATTTCAGTCGCTGTTGAAGCCTCGGAAGCTGCTGGAGCAGCGGAGGCAACGGGAGAGGCGAGCACTGCACTGACAGTGCGGGGTGTCACAGTGCCACTGGCGATGGGAGTCACAGTGCCGCTGCTGCTGCCATCCTTGCGCTTGCTCATCGACCTGGCACGCTGTTAACAGGTCACGATTCAAGGCGAGGGGGTAATGGAGATTGCTTGAGACCAACAAGGAATGATGTAACAGATTCTCCTGGAAGGTACTGCAGAGTAATGGATGAGGAGAGGACTACATATTAAAGTCGCTCCTTGCATTGGCGGATGGCCTTATTGCTCCGTCATGCACCTCGCTATGTAGTGTTGTTTAATGACTTCTGATTACAGTGAAGGACATAGCCTGCTTGTATTGGTAGTGACTCACCATAGCCGCAATCTTGGCTCGTTCCTCATCACTGAGCATGAAGTTGGACTTGACATGCACTTGGCCTCCGTTGCTCCATGGAAGCATGTCATCACGAAAGCCTTTTTCCACCACGGAAGGTACGGACAGAGCTGCATGACCACAACAGGAGGGAAACATGAGATTGCCCTGCTTAAAAATCATGAAGGTTACACTTGTTTCTCCTGTTTTCTCAACCAGTCACAACTCATGGAAATCTCACGACCTAGGAATGAGGATCACGACAAAACGTGGGTCTGGAAGGACTTACAAGTCTTGCAAACAGCTACACCACGAGCGTCAAGGAGTGTGAATACCACAGGATCGGTGAGGTTGAGCACCGCACTGCATCAGAAACGGCAATGTGCAACAATACCAACGTGAAAGGAAACACATCGCCCACAGACGCAAAGACCAAATCCGTTTTTTGACCACATGGCTTTAGGAACAGCGTGGGTTCTCAGAAACGCAGAAAGGACGACGATCGACAGGCTGTCGAAGTGGATGATACACGCGATCAGGACGAGGTAATAGTCAGGAAGTGTCAGAAAGTCGTACAAAGCGAAATCTGAGTTGAACGCCTTGATAGATGACGTTCCTGATCCTGAGGACGTCGACGCTTGCTCATCCGTGGAAAATGATCGCGCTCCGACGGAGACTGCAACATCTCAAATCAACGGTCAGCACCGAGGCTGACCAGCAAATGCAAAAACTTGTGTAACAACCGTGTCTTCTTCAACTCACCTTGAATAGCATATTTCTTCCCTATAATGGTGTTTCGGGTTTGTCGAGACACACAATGAAAGAAAACAGCTCGTTAGACAGAGTTCGATGGAAGAACGCAGGCCGCAAAGCTTTCGATAGAAGAACGACGGAGGTAGAGACGAAATATCAGCAGAATAAGAGCTATTGCGTACCTGATGGCCCTGGAAGATCGACGACCTCCAACACTGCAGAATTTCGACAGATAAAAGAACGAAAGAGGTAAATAGTACTGATTTCACATTACACTACCGCGTCAACTAAGAATGCTGGGTGAAAGGACAAGGTAACGTTCGCACGCCACAGCGTAAGTGATGACACTAAAGAATGTCAGTTAACTGATAGAGCTTATTTCGGCACCTATGCGTACCTGTGATTCGCACGGTGCCAGGCATGGCTGATTGCAGCTGTCACTAGAGCTTCTCTAACTAAGGCGAGGGTTCAGCCAGAGATGTCACGTGCAGCTTCAGCAATGGTACCAAAAGAAACGACCGCTACAAACAGGTCCTGAGAACGCGCGAAACGTAATCCTCACTGAGAAGCAATGCGTATTTCATAGCACATGTCGAAGAGCTCTGAGCGTCGGCTCTACAAGCATCAGAATCACTACGCCTGAAGGCTAATGAATCCGAGCTAAAATGATGTCTAACACGCAAATCCAAAACAACCTCAGGGAATACCTGGGAGCAGCACACAGAAATTAGCGGCAGCAGGAGAGGGTGCCTTCGAATTGGACGATTACCGTTTGAAACCAGAAAATTGAAGCTCATGCTTTCGATCGTCGTCAGTGTCACCGTCAACTTTCCTCACGTGTCAGTGGATTTCGCCTGTGCCTTTGACGTTTGCAATCGTGTTTGTGCCAGTCCTAGATGTTTCCGCAATCCCAATGTCCACGTCAACAATTAGCGATTTGGCATGCGAGCCTCGCTTGTGGGACCACGAAATTGTTTTCCCGCCACCACTTTTCAAACGACCTGTCACCATGGGTGTTTCAGAAAGAACCTGCAGCAGCCGTATTGGCTTCCTTAGTGGGAACCCTTATTGTAGTACAAAAAATATAGCCTTTACATGTACAGGTGAAAGTATACGCCCGCCAAGTAGCAATCACACAGATTCATGCAAACGAAAACACCACACCTTCAGCCTGTACAACGCACGTCTTCACAGTCGTGCCTTCAGGTCCTTGCGCAATACCTTGCCAGAAGCCGTCTTCGGAATTGCATCCACGAAAATCACATCATGTAGCCTCTTATAGGTCGCCACCTGCATCAAAACCAAATAGCATGACATCCTTGTGAGGTCCCTGCATGAACATGCGACATGAATTGTGCATTTACTAATCGCACTCACCTGCTTGCTGATAAAATCCTTCACCTCGTTGACTGACAGCTCAGCACCACCTTGACGTAAGACAACAAACGCCACTGGCACCTCCCCACTCTCTTCACTTGAAGCACTGTAAAAGGCGGAAGGGAAACGAAATGCAGGGCTTGATCAAAATGACAGTCTGGAGCATGATACTGCCATACACAAAAGAAAGATAGCTGCAGCAGAAGGAAAAAAACTGATTAGTATAGTTAAAATGTTCAGGAATGTTTGAACAGAAAAAACAGGAGCAAGTGAGAGTGCTACATGAGAGAGCGGCAAGCTGGGCAAGAGAGAGGAGGGCATCGAGGCGCACGGAACAACTGCAGCATCGGCAATGTCGGGATGGGCGATCAGCAGACCCTCTAGCTCCGCAGGAGGCACCTGGGAAAGCAGGAAACAGAAAGAAGAGAGTCAAGTCAGAAATGCATTGCAGCCAGCATACACTTCCAAGTGATACAAATTTCACCCAGAGGGACCAACCAAGTAAGTCGATTTGAAGACGCTGTGCACCGGGGGCAGATCCGATGCCTAATTTAGCCTTGTCCACCTAAGGTGCAGTGCAGGTACAACAGTCACACATCCCATCCCACCTGGAAGCCCTCACCTGGAAGCCTTTCACTTTGATGAGCCCCTTGACTCGGTCCACCAAAAAGATCTCCCCCGTGCCATCCACATACACCAGTCCCCCTTCGAATCAAACACATTCACTACAGTCACACCGCACTAGAGAACCATTCGCTACAGTCACACCCCACCTGGAAGCCCTTGACTTTGATGAGCTCCTTGACTCGGTCCACCACAAAGATCTTCCCCCGGCCATCCACATAGGCCACGTTCCCACTCCGAACAAACACATTCACTACAGTCACACCCCATTACAGCACCATTCCATTCCAGTCACATCCCACCTGGAAGCCCTTGACTTTGATGAGCTCCTTGACTCGGTCAACCACGAAGATCTCCCCCATCTTGTCCACATAGGCCACATCCCCCGTGCGCAGCCAGCCGTCTGGCGTGATCGTGGCTGATGTCGCCTCGGGGTTGTTCAGATAGCCTTGGGGAGAGGCAGCAAAAGGTGGAGAGGAAGAGTGGAGAGGAACAGAGAGTCAATAGAGGGACGAGATCTCCCCCACCCCATCCACATACGCCACGTCTCCCGTGCGCAGCCAGCCATCAGGCGTGATTGTGGCTGCTGTCGCCTCGGGGTTGTTCAGATAGCCTAGAGGAGAGAGGCAGCAGAAGGGTGGAGTGAAAGAGAGCGTCAGAAGAGGGATGAGAAACTCCCCCGCCCCATCCACATACGCCACGTCTCCCGTGCGCAGCAAGCCGTCTGGCGTGAGCGTGGCTGCTGTCGCCTCGGGGTTGTTCAGATAGCCTAGAGGAGAGAGGCAGCAGAAGGGTGGAGTGAAAGAGAGCGTCAGAAGAGGGATGAGAAACTCCCCCGCCCCATCCACATACGCCACGTCTCCCGTGCGCAGCCAGCCATCAGGCGTGATTGTGGCTGCTGTCGCCTCGGGGTTGTTCAGATAGCCTAGAGGAGAGAGGCAGCAGAAGGGTGGAGTGAAAGAGAGCGTCAGAAGAGGGATGAGAAACTCCCCCGCCCCATCCACATACGCCACGTCTCCCGTGCGCAGCCAGCCATCAGGCGTGATTGTGGCTGCTGTCGCCTCGGGGTTGTTCAGATAGCCTAGAGGAGAGAGGCAGCAGAAGGGTGGAGTGAAAGAGAGCGTCAGAAGAGGGATGAGAAACTCCCCCGCCCCATCCACATACGCCACGTCTCCCGTGCGCAGCCAGCCATCAGGCGTGATTGTGGCTGCTGTCGCCTCGGGGTTGTTCAGATAGCCTAGAGGAGAGAGGCAGCAGAAGGGTGGAGTGAAAGAGAGCGTCAGAAGAGGGATGAGAAACTCCCCCGCCCCATCCACATACGCCACGTCTCCCATGCGCAGCCAGCCATCAGGCGTGATTGTGGCTGCTGTCGCCTCGGGGTTGTTCAGATAGCCTAGAGGAGAGAGGCAGCAGAAGGGTGGAGTGAAAGAGAGCGTCAGAAGAGGGATGAGAAACTCCCCCGCCCCATCCACATACGCCACGTCTCCCGTGCGCAGCCAGCCGTCTGGCGTGAGCGTGGCTGCTGTCGCCTCGGGGTTGTTCAGATAGCCTAGAGGAGAGAGGCAGCAGAAGGGTGGAGTGAAAGAGAGCGTCAGAAGAGGGATGAGAAACTCCCCCGCCCCATCCACATACGCCACGTCTCCCGTGCGCAGCAAGCCGTCTGGCGTGAGCGTGGCTGCTGTCGCCTCGGGGTTGTTCAGATAGCCTAGAGGAGAGAGGCAGCAGAAGGGTGGAGTGAAAGAGAGCGTCAGAAGAGGGATGAGAAACTCCCCCGCCCCATCCACATACGCCACGTCTCCCGTGCGCAGCAAGCCGTCTGGCGTGAGCGTGGCTGCTGTCGCCTCGGGGTTGTTCAGATAGCCTAGAGGAGAGAGGCAGCAGAAGGGTGGAGTGAAAGAGAGCGTCAGAAGAGGGATGAGAAACTCCCCCGCCCCATCCACATACGCCACGTCTCCCGTGCGCAGCAAGCCGTCTGGCGTGAGCGTGGCTGCTGTCGCCTCGGGGTTGTTCAGATAGCCTAGAGGAGAGAGGCAGCAGAAGGGTGGAGTGAAAGAGAGCGTCAGAAGAGGGATGAGAAACTCCCCCGCCCCATCCACATACGCCACGTCTCCCGTGCGCAGCAAGCCGTCTGGCGTGAGCGTGGCTGCTGTCGCCTCGGGGTTGTTCAGATAGCCTAGAGGAGAGAGGCAGCAGAAGGGTGGAGTGAAAGAGAGCGTCAGAAGAGGGATGAGAAACTCCCCCGCCCCATCCACATACGCCACGTCTCCCGTGCGCAGCAAGCCGTCTGGCGTGAGCGTGGCTGCTGTCGCCTCGGGGTTGTTCAGATAGCCTAGAGGAGAGAGGCAGCAGAAGGGTGGAGTGAAAGAGAGCGTCAGAAGAGGGATGAGAAACTCCCCCGCCCCATCCACATACGCCACGTCTCCCGTGCGCAGCAAGCCGTCTGGCGTGAGCGTGGCTGCTGTCGCCTCGGGGTTGTTCAGATAGCCTAGAGGAGAGAGGCAGCAGAAGGGTGGAGTGAAAGAGAGCGTCAGAAGAGGGATGAGAAACTCCCCCGCCCCATCCACATACGCCACGTCTCCCGTGCGCAGCAAGCCGTCTGGCGTGAGCGTGGCTGCTGTCGCCTCGGGGTTGTTCAGATAGCCTAGAGGAGAGAGGCAGCAGAAGGGTGGAGTGAAAGAGAGCGTCAGAAGAGGGATGAGAAACTCCCCCGCCCCATCCACATACGCCACGTCTCCCGTGCGCAGCAAGCCGTCTGGCGTGAGCGTGGCTGCTGTCGCCTCGGGGTTGTTCAGATAGCCTAGAGGAGAGAGGCAGCAGAAGGGTGGAGTGAAAGAGAGCGTCAGAAGAGGGATGAGAAACTCCCCCGCCCCATCCACATACGCCACGTCTCCCGTGCGCAGCCAGCCATCAGGCGTGATTGTGGCTGCTGTCGCCTCGGGGTTGTTCAGATAGCCTAGAGGAGAGAGGCAGCAGAAGGGTGGAGTGAAAGAGAGCGTCAGAAGAGGGATGAGAAACTCCCCCGCCCCATCCACATACGCCACGTCTCCCGTGCGCAGCAAGCCGTCTGGCGTGAGCGTGGCTGCTGTCGCCTCGGGGTTGTTCAGATAGCCTAGAGGAGAGAGGCAGCAGAAGGGTGGAGTGAAAGAGAGCGTCAGAAGAGGGATGAGAAACTCCCCCGCCCCATCCACATACGCCACGTCTCCCGTGCGCAGCAAGCCGTCTGGCGTGAGCGTGGCTGCTGTCGCCTCGGGGTTGTTCAGATAGCCTAGAGGAGAGAGGCAGCAGAAGGGTGGAGTGAAAGAGAGCGTCAGAAGAGGGATGAGAAACTCCCCCGCCCCATCCACATACGCCACGTCTCCCGTGCGCAGCAAGCCGTCTGGCGTGAGCGTGGCTGCTGTCGCCTCGGGGTTGTTCAGATAGCCTAGAGGAGAGAGGCAGCAGAAGGGTGGAGTGAAAGAGAGCGTCAGAAGAGGGATGAGAAACTCCCCCGCCCCATCCACATACGCCACGTCTCCCGTGCGCAGCAAGCCGTCTGGCGTGAGCGTGGCTGCTGTCGCCTCGGGGTTGTTCAGATAGCCTAGAGGAGAGAGGCAGCAGAAGGGTGGAGTGAAAGAGAGCGTCAGAAGAGGGATGAGAAACTCCCCCGCCCCATCCACATACGCCACGTCTCCCGTGCGCAGCAAGCCGTCTGGCGTGAGCGTGGCTGCTGTCGCCTCGGGGTTGTTCAGATAGCCTAGAGGAGAGAGGCAGCAGAAGGGTGGAGTGAAAGAGAGCGTCAGAAGAGGGATGAGAAACTCCCCCGCCCCATCCACATACGCCACGTCTCCCGTGCGCAGCAAGCCGTCTGGCGTGAGCGTGGCTGCTGTCGCCTCGGGGTTGTTCAGATAGCCTAGAGGAGAGAGGCAGCAGAAGGGTGGAGTGAAAGAGAGCGTCAGAAGAGGGATGAGAAACTCCCCCGCCCCATCCACATACGCCACGTCTCCCGTGCGCAGCAAGCCGTCTGGCGTGAGCGTGGCTGCTGTCGCCTCGGGGTTGTTCAGATAGCCTAGAGGAGAGAGGCAGCAGAAGGGTGGAGTGAAAGAGAGCGTCAGAAGAGGGATGAGAAACTCCCCCGCCCCATCCACATACGCCACGTCTCCCGTGCGCAGCAAGCCGTCTGGCGTGAGCGTGGCTGCTGTCGCCTCGGGGTTGTTCAGATAGCCTAGAGGAGAGAGGCAGCAGAAGGGTGGAGTGAAAGAGAGCGTCAGAAGAGGGATGAGAAACTCCCCCGCCCCATCCACATACGCCACGTCTCCCGTGCGCAGCAAGCCGTCTGGCGTGAGCGTGGCTGCTGTCGCCTCGGGGTTGTTCAGATAGCCTAGAGGAGAGAGGCAGCAGAAGGGTGGAGTGAAAGAGAGCGTCAGAAGAGGGATGAGAAACTCCCCCGCCCCATCCACATACGCCACGTCTCCCGTGCGCAGCCAGCCATCAGGCGTGATTGTGGCTGCTGTCGCCTCGGGGTTGTTCAGATAGCCTAGAGGAGAGAGGCAGCAGAAGGGTGGAGTGAAAGAGAGCGTCAGAAGAGGGATGAGAAACTCCCCCGCCCCATCCACATACGCCACGTCTCCCGTGCGCAGCAAGCCGTCTGGCGTGAGCGTGGCTGCTGTCGCCTCGGGGTTGTTCAGATAGCCTAGAGGAGAGAGGCAGCAGAAGGGTGGAGTGAAAGAGAGCGTCAGAAGAGGGATGAGAAACTCCCCCGCCCCATCCACATACGCCACGTCTCCCGTGCGCAGCAAGCCGTCTGGCGTGAGCGTGGCTGCTGTCGCCTCGGGGTTGTTCAGATAGCCTAGAGGAGAGAGGCAGCAGAAGGGTGGAGTGAAAGAGAGCGTCAGAAGAGGGATGAGAAACTCCCCCGCCCCATCCACATACGCCACGTCTCCCGTGCGCAGCAAGCCGTCTGGCGTGAGCGTGGCTGCTGTCGCCTCGGGGTTGTTCAGATAGCCTAGAGGAGAGAGGCAGCAGAAGGGTGGAGTGAAAGAGAGCGTCAGAAGAGGGATGAGAAACTCCCCCGCCCCATCCACATACGCCACGTCTCCCGTGCGCAGCAAGCCGTCTGGCGTGAGCGTGGCTGCTGTCGCCTCGGGGTTGTTCAGATAGCCTAGAGGAGAGAGGCAGCAGAAGGGTGGAGTGAAAGAGAGCGTCAGAAGAGGGATGAGAAACTCCCCCGCCCCATCCACATACGCCACGTCTCCCGTGCGCAGCAAGCCGTCTGGCGTGATTGTGGCTGCTGTCGCCTCGGGGTTGTTCAGATAGCCTAGAGGAGAGAGGCAGCAGAAGGGTGGAGTGAAAGAGAGCGTCAGAAGAGGGATGAGAAACTCCCCCGCCCCATCCACATACGCCACGTCTCCCGTGCGCAGCCAGCCATCAGGCGTGATTGTGGCTGCTGTCGCCTCGGGGTTGTTCAGATAGCCTAGAGGAGAGAGGCAGCAGAAGGGTGGAGTGAAAGAGAGCGTCAGAAGAGGGATGAGAAACTCCCCCGCCCCATCCACATACGCCACGTCTCCCGTGCGCAGCCAGCCGTCTGGCGTGAGCGTGGCTGCTGTCGCCTCGGGGTTGTTCAGATAGCCTAGAGGAGAGAGGCAGCAGAAGGGTGGAGTGAAAGAGAGCGTCAGAAGAGGGATGAGAAACTCCCCCGCCCCATCCACATACGCCACGTCTCCCGTGCGCAGCCAGCCACCAGGCGTGATTGTGGCTGCTGTCGCCTCGGGGTTGTTCAGATAGCCTAGAGGAGAGAGGCAGCAGAAGGGTGGAGTGAAAGAGAGCGTCAGAAGAGGGATGAGAAACTCCCCCGCCCCATCCACATACGCCACGTCTCCCGTGCGCAGCAAGCCGTCTGGCGTGAGCGTGGCTGCTGTCGCCTCGGGGTTGTTCAGATAGCCTAGAGGAGAGAGGCAGCAGAAGGGTGGAGTGAAAGAGAGCGTCAGAAGAGGGATGAGAAACTCCCCCGCCCCATCCACATACGCCACGTCTCCCGTGCGCAGCAAGCCGTCTGGCGTGATTGTGGCTGCTGTCGCCTCGGGGTTGTTCAGATAGCCTAGAGGAGAGAGGCAGCAGAAGGGTGGAGTGAAAGAGAGCGTCAGAAGAGGGATGAGAAACTCCCCCGCCCCATCCACATACGCCACGTCTCCCGTGCGCAGCCAGCCGTCTGGCGTGAGCGTGGCTGCTGTCGCCTCGGGGTTGTTCAGATAGCCTAGAGGAGAGAGGCAGCAGAAGGGTGGAGTGAAAGAGAGCGTCAGAAGAGGGATGAGAAACTCCCCCGCCCCATCCACATACGCCACGTCTCCCGTGCGCAGCCAGCCATCAGGCGTGATTGTGGCTGCTGTCGCCTCGGGGTTGTTCAGATAGCCTAGAGGAGAGAGGCAGCAGAAGGGTGGAGTGAAAGAGAGCGTCAGAAGAGGGATGAGAAACTCCCCCGCCCCATCCACATACGCCACGTCTCCCGTGCGCAGCCAGCCGTCTGGCGTGAGCGTGGCTGCTGTCGCCTCGGGGTTGTTCAGATAGCCTAGAGGAGAGAGGCAGCAGAAGGGTGGAGTGAAAGAGAGCGTCAGAAGAGGGATGAGAAACTCCCCCGCCCCATCCACATACGCCACGTCTCCCGTGCGCAGCAAGCCGTCTGGCGTGAGCGTGGCTGCTGTCGCCTCGGGGTTGTTCAGATAGCCTAGAGGAGAGAGGCAGCAGAAGGGTGGAGTGAAAGAGAGCGTCAGAAGAGGGATGAGAAACTCCCCCGCCCCATCCACATACGCCACGTCTCCCGTGCGCAGCCAGCCATCAGGCGTGATTGTGGCTGCTGTCGCCTCGGGGTTGTTCAGATAGCCTAGAGGAGAGAGGCAGCAGAAGGGTGGAGTGAAAGAGAGCGTCAGAAGAGGGATGAGAAACTCCCCCGCCCCATCCACATACGCCACGTCTCCCGTGCGCAGCCAGCCATCAGGCGTGATTGTGGCTGCTGTCGCCTCGGGGTTGTTCAGATAGCCTAGAGGAGAGAGGCAGCAGAAGGGTGGAGTGAAAGAGAGCGTCAGAAGAGGGATGAGAAACTCCCCCGCCCCATCCACATACGCCACGTCTCCCGTGCGCAGCCAGCCATCAGGCGTGATTGTGGCTGCTGTCGCCTCGGGGTTGTTCAGATAGCCTAGAGGAGAGAGGCAGCAGAAGGGTGGAGTGAAAGAGAGCGTCAGAAGAGGGATGAGAAACTCCCCCGCCCCATCCACATACGCCACGTCTCCCGTGCGCAGCCAGCCATCAGGCGTGATTGTGGCTGCTGTCGCCTCGGGGTTGTTCAGATAGCCTAGAGGAGAGAGGCAGCAGAAGGGTGGAGTGAAAGAGAGCGTCAGAAGAGGGATGAGAAACTCCCCCGCCCCATCCACATACGCCACGTCTCCCGTGCGCAGCAAGCCGTCTGGCGTGAGCGTGGCTGCTGTCGCCTCGGGGTTGTTCAGATAGCCTAGAGGAGAGAGGCAGCAGAAGGGTGGAGTGAAAGAGAGCGTCAGAAGAGGGATGAGAAACTCCCCCGCCCCATCCACATACGCCACGTCTCCCGTGCGCAGCAAGCCGTCTGGCGTGAGCGTGGCTGCTGTCGCCTCGGGGTTGTTCAGATAGCCTAGAGGAGAGAGGCAGCAGAAGGGTGGAGTGAAAGAGAGCGTCAGAAGAGGGATGAGAAACTCCCCCGCCCCATCCACATACGCCACGTCTCCCGTGCGCAGCCAGCCATCAGGCGTGATTGTGGCTGCTGTCGCCTCGGGGTTGTTCAGATAGCCTAGAGGAGAGAGGCAGCAGAAGGGTGGAGTGAAAGAGAGCGTCAGAAGAGGGATGAGAAACTCCCCCGCCCCATCCACATACGCCACGTCTCCCGTGCGCAGCCAGCCATCAGGCGTGATTGTGGCTGCTGTCGCCTCGGGGTTGTTCAGATAGCCTAGAGGAGAGAGGCAGCAGAAGGGTGGAGTGAAAGAGAGCGTCAGAAGAGGGATGAGAAACTCCCCCGCCCCATCCACATACGCCACGTCTCCCGTGCGCAGCCAGCCATCAGGCGTGATTGTGGCTGCTGTCGCCTCGGGGTTGTTCAGATAGCCTAGAGGAGAGAGGCAGCAGAAGGGTGGAGTGAAAGAGAGCGTCAGAAGAGGGATGAGAAACTCCCCCGCCCCATCCACATACGCCACGTCTCCCGTGCGCAGCAAGCCGTCTGGCGTGAGCGTGGCTGCTGTCGCCTCGGGGTTGTTCAGATAGCCTAGAGGAGAGAGGCAGCAGAAGGGTGGAGTGAAAGAGAGCGTCAGAAGAGGGATGAGAAACTCCCCCGCCCCATCCACATACGCCACGTCTCCCGTGCGCAGCCAGCCGTCTGGCGTGAGCGTGGCTGCTGTCGCCTCGGGGTTGTTCAGATAGCCTAGAGGAGAGAGGCAGCAGAAGGGTGGAGTGAAAGAGAGCGTCAGAAGAGGGATGAGAAACTCCCCCGCCCCATCCACATACGCCACGTCTCCCGTGCGCAGCCAGCCGTCTGGCGTGAGCGTGGCTCCTGTCGCCTCGGGGTTTTTCAGATAGCCTAGAGGAGAGAGGCAGCAGAAGGGTGGAGTGAAAGAGAGCGTCAGAAGAGGGATGAGAAACTCCCCCGCCCCATCCACATACGCCACGTCTCCCGTGCGCAGCCAGCCGTCTGGCGTGAGCGTGGCTGCTGTCGCCTCGGGGTTGTTCAGATAGCCTAGAGGAGAGAGGCAGCAGAAGGGTGGAGTGAAAGAGAGCGTCAGAAGAGGGATGAGAAACTCCCCCGCCCCATCCACATACGCCACGTCTCCCATGCGCAGCCAGCCATCAGGCGTGATTGTGGCTGCTGTCGCCTCGGGGTTGTTCAGATAGCCTAGAGGAGAGAGGCAGCAGAAGGGTGGAGTGAAAGAGAGCGTCAGAAGAGGGATGAGAAACTCCCCCGCCCCATCCACATACGCCACGTCTCCCGTGCGCAGCCAGCCGTCTGGCGTGAGCGTGGCTGCTGTCGCCTCGGGGTTGTTCAGATAGCCTAGAGGAGAGAGGCAGCAGAAGGGTGGAGTGAAAGAGAGCGTCAGAAGAGGGATGAGAAACTCCCCCGCCCCATCCACATACGCCACGTCTCCCGTGCGCAGCAAGCCGTCTGGCGTGAGCGTGGCTGCTGTCGCCTCGGGGTTGTTCAGATAGCCTAGAGGAGAGAGGCAGCAGAAGGGTGGAGTGAAAGAGAGCGTCAGAAGAGGGATGAGAAACTCCCCCGCCCCATCCACATACGCCACGTCTCCCGTGCGCAGCCAGCCATCAGGCGTGATTGTGGCTGCTGTCGCCTCGGGGTTGTTCAGATAGCCTAGAGGAGAGAGGCAGCAGAAGGGTGGAGTGAAAGAGAGCGTCAGAAGAGGGATGAGAAACTCCCCCGCCCCATCCACATACGCCACGTCTCCCGTGCGCAGCCAGCCATCAGGCGTGATTGTGGCTGCTGTCGCCTCGGGGTTGTTCAGATAGCCTAGAGGAGAGAGGCAGCAGAAGGGTGGAGTGAAAGAGAGCGTCAGAAGAGGGATGAGAAACTCCCCCGCCCCATCCACATACGCCACGTCTCCCATGCGCAGCCAGCCATCAGGCGTGATTGTGGCTGCTGTCGCCTCGGGGTTGTTCAGATAGCCTAGAGGAGAGAGGCAGCAGAAGGGTGGAGTGAAAGAGAGCGTCAGAAGAGGGATGAGAAACTCCCCCGCCCCATCCACATACGCCACGTCTCCCGTGCGCAGCCAGCCGTCTGGCGTGAGCGTGGCTGCTGTCGCCTCGGGGTTGTTCAGATAGCCTAGAGGAGAGAGGCAGCAGAAGGGTGGAGTGAAAGAGAGCGTCAGAAGAGGGATGAGAAACTCCCCCGCCCCATCCACATACGCCACGTCTCCCGTGCGCAGCAAGCCGTCTGGCGTGAGCGTGGCTGCTGTCGCCTCGGGGTTGTTCAGATAGCCTAGAGGAGAGAGGCAGCAGAAGGGTGGAGTGAAAGAGAGCGTCAGAAGAGGGATGAGAAACTCCCCCGCCCCATCCACATACGCCACGTCTCCCGTGCGCAGCCAGCCATCAGGCGTGATTGTGGCTGCTGTCGCCTCGGGGTTGTTCAGATAGCCTAGAGGAGAGAGGCAGCAGAAGGGTGGAGTGAAAGAGAGCGTCAGAAGAGGGATGAGAAACTCCCCCGCCCCATCCACATACGCCACGTCTCCCGTGCGCAGCCAGCCGTCTGGCGTGAGCGTGGCTGCTGTCGCCTCGGGGTTGTTCAGATAGCCTAGAGGAAAGAGGCAGCAGAAGGGTGGAGTGAAAGAGAGCGTCAGAAGAGGGATGAGAAACTCCCCCGCCCCATCCACATACGCCACGTCTCCCGTGCGCAGCAAGCCGTCTGGCGTGAGCGTGGCTGCTGTCGCCTCGGGGTTGTTCAGATAGCCTAGAGGAGAGAGGCAGCAGAAGGGTGGAGTGAAAGAGAGCGTCAGAAGAGGGATGAGAAACTCCCCCGCCCCATCCACATACGCCACGTCTCCCGTGCGCAGCCAGCCATCAGGCGTGATTGTGGCTGCTGTCGCCTCGGGGTTGTTCAGATAGCCTAGAGGAGAGAGGCAGCAGAAGGGTGGAGTGAAAGAGAGCGTCAGAAGAGGGATGAGAAACTCCCCCGCCCCATCCACATACGCCACGTCTCCCGTGCGCAGCCAGCCGTCTGGCGTGAGCGTGGCTGCTGTCGCCTCGGGGTTGTTCAGATAGCCTAGAGGAGAGAGGCAGCAGAAGGGTGGAGTGAAAGAGAGCGTCAGAAGAGGGATGAGAAACTCCCCCGCCCCATCCACATACGCCACGTCTCCCGTGCGCAGCAAGCCGTCTGGCGTGAGCGTGGCTGCTGTCGCCTCGGGGTTGTTCAGATAGCCTAGAGGAGAGAGGCAGCAGAAGGGTGGAGTGAAAGAGAGCGTCAGAAGAGGGATGAGAAACTCCCCCGCCCCATCCACATACGCCACGTCTCCCGTGCGCAGCCAGCCATCAGGCGTGATTGTGGCTGCTGTCGCCTCGGGGTTGTTCAGATAGCCTAGAGGAGAGAGGCAGCAGAAGGGTGGAGTGAAAGAGAGCGTCAGAAGAGGGATGAGAAACTCCCCCGCCCCATCCACATACGCCACGTCTCCCGTGCGCAGCAAGCCGTCTGGCGTGAGCGTGGCTGCTGTCGCCTCGGGGTTGTTCAGATAGCCTAGAGGAGAGAGGCAGCAGAAGGGTGGAGTGAAAGAGAGCGTCAGAAGAGGGATGAGAAACTCCCCCGCCCCATCCACATACGCCACGTCTCCCGTGCGCAGCCAGCCATCAGGCGTGATTGTGGCTGTTGTCGCCTCGGGGTTGTTCAGATAGCCTAGAGGAGAGAGGCAGCAGAAGGGTGGAGTGAAAGAGAGCGTCAGAAGAGGGATGAGAAACTCCCCCGCCCCATCCACATACGCCACGTCTCCCGTGCGCAGCCAGCCATCAGGCGTGATTGTGGCTGCTGTCGCCTCGGGGTTGTTCAGATAGCCTAGAGGAGAGAGGCAGCAGAAGGGTGGAGTGAAAGAGAGCGTCAGAAGAGGGATGAGAAACTCCCCCTCCCCATCCACATACGCCACGTCTCCCGTGCGCAGCAAGCCGTCTGGCGTGAGCGTGGCTGCTGTCGCCTCGGGGTTGTTCAGATAGCCTAGAGGAGAGAGGCAGCAGAAGGGTGGAGTGAAAGAGAGCGTCAGAAGAGGGATGAGAAACTCCCCCGCCCCATCCACATACGCCACGTCTCCCGTGCGCAGCCAGCCATCAGGCGTGATTGTGGCTGCTGTCGCCTCGGGGTTGTTCAGATAGCCTAGAGGAGAGAGGCAGCAGAAGGGTGGAGTGAAAGAGAGCGTCAGAAGAGGGATGAGAAACTCCCCCTCCCCATCCACATACGCCACGTCTCCCGTGCGCAGCAAGCCGTCTGGCGTGAGCGTGGCTGCTGTCGCCTCGGGGTTGTTCAGATAGCCTAGAGGAGAGAGGCAGCAGAAGGGTGGAGTGAAAGAGAGCGTCAGAAGAGGGATGAGAAACTCCCCCGCCCCATCCACATACGCCACGTCTCCCGTGCGCAGCCAGCCATCAGGCGTGATTGTGGCTGCTGTCGCCTCGGGGTTGTTCAGATAGCCTAGAGGAGAGAGGCAGCAGAAGGGTGGAGTGAAAGAGAGCGTCAGAAGAGGGATGAGAAACTCCCCCGCCCCATCCACATACGCCACGTCTCCCGTGCGCAGCCAGCCATCAGGCGTGATTGTGGCTGCTGTCGCCTCGGGGTTGTTCAGATAGCCTAGAGGAGAGAGGCAGCAGAAGGGTGGAGTGAAAGAGAGCGTCAGAAGAGGGATGAGAAACTCCCCCGCCCCATCCACATACGCCACGTCTCCCGTGCGCAGACAGCCATCAGGCGTGATTGTGGCTGCTGTCGCCTCGGGTTTGTTCAGATAGCCTAGAGGAGAGAGGCAGCAGAAGGGTGGAGTGAAAGAGAGCGTCAGAAGAGGGATGAGAAACTCCCCCGCCCCATCCACATACGCCACGTCTCCCGTGCGCAGCCAGCCATCAGGCGTGATTGTGGCTGCTGTCGCCTCGGGGTTGTTCAGATAGCCTAGAGGAGAGAGGCAGCAGAAGGGTGGAGTGAAAGAGAGCGTCAGAAGAGGGATGAGAAACTCCCCCGCCCCATCCACATACGCCACGTCTCCCGTGCGCAGCCAGCCATCAGGCGTGATTGTGGCTGCTGTCGCCTCGGGGTTGTTCAGATAGCCTAGAGGAGAGAGGCAGCAGAAGGGTGGAGTGAAAGAGAGCGTCAGAAGAGGGATGAGAAACTCCCCCGCCCCATCCACATACGCCACGTCTCCCGTGCGCAGCCAGCCATCAGGCGTGATTGTGGCTGCTGTCGCCTCGGGGTTGTTCAGATAGCTAGAGGAGAGAGGCAGCAGAAGGGTGGAGTGAAAGAGAGCGTCAGAAGAGGGATGAGAAACTCCCCCGCCCCATCCACATACGCCACGTCTCCCGTGCGCAGCCAGCCATCAGGCGTGATTGTGGCTGCTGTCGCCTCGGGGTTGTTCAGATAGCCTAGAGGAGAGAGGCAGCAGAAGGGTGGAGTGAAAGAGAGCGTCAGAAGAGGGATGAGAAACTCCCCCGCCCCATCCACATACGCCACGTCTCCCGTGCGCAGCCAGCCATCAGGCGTGATTGTGGCTGCTGTCGCCTCGGGGTTGTTCAGATAGCCTAGAGGAGAGAGGCAGCAGAAGGGTGGAGTGAAAGAGAGCGTCAGAAGAGGGATGAGAAACTCCCCCGCCCCATCCACATACGCCACGTCTCCCGTGCGCAGCCAGCCATCAGGCGTGATTGTGGCTGCTGTCGCCTCGGGGTTGTTCAGATAGCCTAGAGGAGAGAGGCAGCAGAAGGGTGGAGTGAAAGAGAGCGTCAGAAGAGGGATGAGAAACTCCCCCGCCCCATCCACATACGCCACGTCTCCCGTGCGCAGCCAGCCGTCTGGCGTGAGCGTGGCTGCTGTCGCCTCGGGGTTGTTCAGATAGCCTAGAGGAGAGAGGCAGCAGAAGGGTGGAGTGAAAGAGAGCGTCAGAAGAGGGATGAGAAACTCCCCCGCCCCATCCACATACGCCACGTCTCCCGTGCGCAGCCAGCCATCAGGCGTGATTGTGGCTGTTGTCGCCTCGGGGTTGTTCAGATAGCCTAGAGGAGAGAGGCAGCAGAAGGGTGGAGTGAAAGAGAGCGTCAGAAGAGGGATGAGAAACTCCCCCGCCCCATCCACATACGCCACGTCTCCCGTGCGCAGCCAGCCATCAGGCGTGATTGTGGCTGCTGTCGCCTCGGGGTTGTTCAGATAGCCTAGAGGAGAGAGGCAGCAGAAGGGTGGAGTGAAAGAGAGCGTCAGAAGAGGGATGAGAAACTCCCCCTCCCCATCCACATACGCCACGTCTCCCGTGCGCAGCCAGCCATCAGGCGTGATTGTGGCTGCTGTCGCCTCGGGGTTGTTCAGATAGCCTAGAGGAGAGAGGCAGCAGAAGGGTGGAGTGAAAGAGAGCGTCAGAAGAGGGATGAGAAACTCCCCCGCCCCATCCACATACGCCACGTCTCCCGTGCGCAGCCAGCCATCAGGCGTGATTGTGGCTGCTGTCGCCTCGGGGTTGTTCAGATAGCCTAGAGGAGAGAGGCAGCAGAAGGGTGGAGTGAAAGAGAGCGTCAGAAGAGGGATGAGAAACTCCCCCGCCCCATCCACATACGCCACGTCTCCCGTGCGCAGCCAGCCATCAGGCGTGATTGTGGCTGCTGTCGCCTCGGGGTTGTTCAGATAGCCTAGAGGAGAGAGGCAGCAGAAGGGTGGAGTGAAAGAGAGCGTCAGAAGAGGGATGAGAAACTCCCCCGCCCCATCCACATACGCCACGTCTCCCGTGCGCAGCCAGCCGTCTGGCGTGAGCGTGGCTGCTGTCGCCTCGGGGTTGTTCAGATAGCCTAGAGGAGAGAGGCAGCAGAAGGGTGGAGTGAAAGAGAGCGTCAGAAGAGGGATGAGAAACTCCCCCGCCCCATCCACATACGCCACGTCTCCCGTGCGCAGCCAGCCGTCTGGCGTGAGCGTGGCTGCTGTCGCCTCGGGGTTGTTCAGATAGCCTAGAGGAGAGAGGCAGCAGAAGGGTGGAGTGAAAGAGAGCGTCAGAAGAGGGATGAGAAACTCCCCCGCCCCATCCACATACGCCACGTCTCCCGTGCGCAGCCAGCCGTCTGGCGTGAGCGTGGCTGCTGTCGCCTCGGGGTTGTTCAGATAGCCTAGAGGAGAGAGGCAGCAGAAGGGTGGAGTGAAAGAGAGCGTCAGAAGAGGGATGAGAAACTCCCCCGCCCCATCCACATACGCCACGTCTCCCGTGCGCAGCCAGCCATCAGGCGTGATTGTGGCTGCTGTCGCCTCGGGGTTGTTCAGATAGCCTAGAGGAGAGAGGCAGCAGAAGGGTGGAGTGAAAGAGAGCGTCAGAAGAGGGATGAGAAACTCCCCCGCCCCATCCACATACGCCACGTCTCCCGTGCGCAGCCAGCCGTCTGGCGTGATTGTGGCTGCTGTCGCCTCGGGGTTGTTCAGATAGCCTAGAGGAGAGAGGCAGCAGAAGGGTGGAGTGAAAGAGAGCGTCAGAAGAGGGATGAGAAACTCCCCCGCCCCATCCACATACGCCACGTCTCCCGTGCGCAGCCAGCCATCAGGCGTGATTGTGGCTGCTGTCGCCTCGGGGTTGTTCAGATAGCCTAGAGGAGAGAGGCAGCAGAAGGGTGGAGTGAAAGAGAGCGTCAGAAGAGGGATGAGAAACTCCCCCGCCCCATCCACATACGCCACGTCTCCCGTGCGCAGCCAGCCGTCTGGCGTGAGCGTGGCTGCTGTCGCCTCGGGGTTGTTCAGATAGCCTAGAGGAGAGAGGCAGCAGAAGGGTGGAGTGAAAGAGAGCGTCAGAAGAGGGATGAGAAACTCCCCCGCCCCATCCACATACGCCACGTCTCCCGTGCGCAGCCAGCCGTCTGGCGTGAGCGTGGCTGCTGTCGCCTCGGGGTTGTTCAGATAGCCTAGAGGAGAGAGGCAGCAGAAGGGTGGAGTGAAAGAGAGCGTCAGAAGAGGGATGAGAAACTCCCCCGCCCCATCCACATACGCCACGTCTCCCGTGCGCAGCCAGCCATCAGGCGTGATTGTGGCTGCTGTCGCCTCGGGGTTGTTCAGATAGCCTAGAGGAGAGAGGCAGCAGAAGGGTGGAGTGAAAGAGAGCGTCAGAAGAGGGATGAGAAACTCCCCCGCCCCATCCACATACGCCACGTCTCCCGTGCGCAGCCAGCCATCAGGCGTGATTGTGGCTGCTGTCGCCTCGGGGTTGTTCAGATAGCTAGAGGAGAGAGGCAGCAGAAGGGTGGAGTGAAAGAGAGCGTCAGAAGAGGGATGAGAAACTCCCCCGCCCCATCCACATACGCCACGTCTCCCGTGCGCAGCCAGCCATCAGGCGTGATTGTGGCTGCTGTCGCCTCGGGGTTGTTCAGATAGCCTAGAGGAGAGAGGCAGCAGAAGGGTGGAGTGAAAGAGAGCGTCAGAAGAGGGATGAGAAACTCCCCCGCCCCATCCACATACGCCACGTCTCCCGTGCGCAGCCAGCCATCAGGCGTGATTGTGGCTGCTGTCGCCTCGGGGTTGTTCAGATAGCCTAGAGGAGAGAGGCAGCAGAAGGGTGGAGTGAAAGAGAGCGTCAGAAGAGGGATGAGAAACTCCCCCGCCCCATCCACATACGCCACGTCTCCCGTGCGCAGCCAGCCGTCTGGCGTGAGCGTGGCTGCTGTCGCCTCGGGGTTGTTCAGATAGCCTAGAGGAGAGAGGCAGCAGAAGGGTGGAGTGAAAGAGAGCGTCAGAAGAGGGATGAGAAACTCCCCCGCCCCATCCACATACGCCACGTCTCCCGTGCGCAGCCAGCCATCAGGCGTGATTGTGGCTGTTGTCGCCTCGGGGTTGTTCAGATAGCCTAGAGGAGAGAGGCAGCAGAAGGGTGGAGTGAAAGAGAGCGTCAGAAGAGGGATGAGAAACTCCCCCGCCCCATCCACATACGCCACGTCTCCCGTGCGCAGCCAGCCATCAGGCGTGATTGTGGCTGCTGTCGCCTCGGGGTTGTTCAGATAGCCTAGAGGAGAGAGGCAGCAGAAGGGTGGAGTGAAAGAGAGCGTCAGAAGAGGGATGAGAAACTCCCCCTCCCCATCCACATACGCCACGTCTCCCGTGCGCAGCCAGCCATCAGGCGTGATTGTGGCTGCTGTCGCCTCGGGGTTGTTCAGATAGCCTAGAGGAGAGAGGCAGCAGAAGGGTGGAGTGAAAGAGAGCGTCAGAAGAGGGATGAGAAACTCCCCCGCCCCATCCACATACGCCACGTCTCCCGTGCGCAGCCAGCCATCAGGCGTGATTGTGGCTGCTGTCGCCTCGGGGTTGTTCAGATAGCCTAGAGGAGAGAGGCAGCAGAAGGGTGGAGTGAAAGAGAGCGTCAGAAGAGGGATGAGAAACTCCCCCGCCCCATCCACATACGCCACGTCTCCCGTGCGCAGCCAGCCATCAGGCGTGATTGTGGCTGCTGTCGCCTCGGGGTTGTTCAGATAGCCTAGAGGAGAGAGGCAGCAGAAGGGTGGAGTGAAAGAGAGCGTCAGAAGAGGGATGAGAAACTCCCCCGCCCCATCCACATACGCCACGTCTCCCGTGCGCAGCCAGCCGTCTGGCGTGAGCGTGGCTGCTGTCGCCTCGGGGTTGTTCAGATAGCCTAGAGGAGAGAGGCAGCAGAAGGGTGGAGTGAAAGAGAGCGTCAGAAGAGGGATGAGAAACTCCCCCGCCCCATCCACATACGCCACGTCTCCCGTGCGCAGCCAGCCGTCTGGCGTGAGCGTGGCTGCTGTCGCCTCGGGGTTGTTCAGATAGCCTAGAGGAGAGAGGCAGCAGAAGGGTGGAGTGAAAGAGAGCGTCAGAAGAGGGATGAGAAACTCCCCCGCCCCATCCACATACGCCACGTCTCCCGTGCGCAGCCAGCCGTCTGGCGTGAGCGTGGCTGCTGTCGCCTCGGGGTTGTTCAGATAGCCTAGAGGAGAGAGGCAGCAGAAGGGTGGAGTGAAAGAGAGCGTCAGAAGAGGGATGAGAAACTCCCCCGCCCCATCCACATACGCCACGTCTCCCGTGCGCAGCCAGCCATCAGGCGTGATTGTGGCTGCTGTCGCCTCGGGGTTGTTCAGATAGCCTAGAGGAGAGAGGCAGCAGAAGGGTGGAGTGAAAGAGAGCGTCAGAAGAGGGATGAGAAACTCCCCCGCCCCATCCACATACGCCACGTCTCCCGTGCGCAGCCAGCCGTCTGGCGTGATTGTGGCTGCTGTCGCCTCGGGGTTGTTCAGATAGCCTAGAGGAGAGAGGCAGCAGAAGGGTGGAGTGAAAGAGAGCGTCAGAAGAGGGATGAGAAACTCCCCCGCCCCATCCACATACGCCACGTCTCCCGTGCGCAGCCAGCCATCAGGCGTGATTGTGGCTGCTGTCGCCTCGGGGTTGTTCAGATAGCCTAGAGGAGAGAGGCAGCAGAAGGGTGGAGTGAAAGAGAGCGTCAGAAGAGGGATGAGAAACTCCCCCGCCCCATCCACATACGCCACGTCTCCCGTGCGCAGCCAGCCGTCTGGCGTGAGCGTGGCTGCTGTCGCCTCGGGGTTGTTCAGATAGCCTAGAGGAGAGAGGCAGCAGAAGGGTGGAGTGAAAGAGAGCGTCAGAAGAGGGATGAGAAACTCCCCCGCCCCATCCACATACGCCACGTCTCCCGTGCGCAGCCAGCCGTCTGGCGTGAGCGTGGCTGCTGTCGCCTCGGGGTTGTTCAGATAGCCTAGAGGAGAGAGGCAGCAGAAGGGTGGAGTGAAAGAGAGCGTCAGAAGAGGGATGAGAAACTCCCCCGCCCCATCCACATACGCCACGTCTCCCGTGCGCAGCCAGCCATCAGGCGTGATTGTGGCTGCTGTCGCCTCGGGGTTGTTCAGATAGCCTAGAGGAGAGAGGCAGCAGAAGGGTGGAGTGAAAGAGAGCGTCAGAAGAGGGATGAGAAACTCCCCCGCCCCATCCACATACGCCACGTCTCCCGTGCGCAGCCAGCCATCAGGCGTGATTGTGGCTGCTGTCGCCTCGGGGTTGTTCAGATAGCCTAGAGGAGAGAGGCAGCAGAAGGGTGGAGTGAAAGAGAGCGTCAGAAGAGGGATGAGAAACTCCCCCGCCCCATCCACATACGCCACGTCTCCCGTGCGCAGCCAGCCATCAGGCGTGATTGTGGCTGCTGTCGCCTCGGGGTTGTTCAGATAGCCTAGAGGAGAGAGGCAGCAGAAGGGTGGAGTGAAAGAGAGCGTCAGAAGAGGGATGAGAAACTCCCCCGCCCCATCCACATACGCCACGTCTCCCGTGCGCAGCCAGCCATCAGGCGTGATTGTGGCTGCTGTCGCCTCGGGGTTGTTCAGATAGCCTAGAGGAGAGAGGCAGCAGAAGGGTGGAGTGAAAGAGAGCGTCAGAAGAGGGATGAGAAACTCCCCCGCCCCATCCACATACGCCACGTCTCCCGTGCGCAGCCAGCCATCAGGCGTGATTGTGGCTGCTGTCGCCTCGGGGTTGTTCAGATAGCCTAGAGGAGAGAGGCAGCAGAAGGGTGGAGTGAAAGAGAGCGTCAGAAGAGGGATGAGAAACTCCCCCGCCCCATCCACATACGCCACGTCTCCCGTGCGCAGCCAGCCATCAGGCGTGATTGTGGCTGCTGTCGCCTCGGGGTTGTTCAGATAGCCTAGAGGAGAGAGGCAGCAGAAGGGTGGAGTGAAAGAGAGCGTCAGAAGAGGGATGAGAAACTCCCCCGCCCCATCCACATACGCCACGTCTCCCGTGCGCAGCCAGCCATCAGGCGTGATTGTGGCTGCTGTCGCCTCGGGGTTGTTCAGATAGCCTAGAGGAGAGAGGCAGCAGAAGGGTGGAGTGAAAGAGAGCGTCAGAAGAGGGATGAGAAACTCCCCCGCCCCATCCACATACGCCACGTCTCCCGTGCGCAGCCAGCCGTCTGGCGTGAGCGTGGCTGCTGTCGCCTCGGGGTTGTTCAGATAGCCTAGAGGAGAGAGGCAGCAGAAGGGTGGAGTGAAAGAGAGCGTCAGAAGAGGGATGAGAAACTCCCCCGCCCCATCCACATACGCCACGTCTCCCGTGCGCAGCCAGCCGTCTGGCGTGAGCGTGGCTGCTGTCGCCTCGGGGTTGTTCAGATAGCCTAGAGGAGAGAGGCAGCAGAAGGGTGGAGTGAAAGAGAGCGTCAGAAGAGGGATGAGAAACTCCCCCGCCCCATCCACATACGCCACGTCTCCCGTGCGCAGCCAGCCGTCTGGCGTGAGCGTGGCTGCTGTCGCCTCGGGGTTGTTCAGATAGCCTAGAGGAGAGAGGCAGCAGAAGGGTGGAGTGAAAGAGAGCGTCAGAAGAGGGATGAGAAACTCCCCCGCCCCATCCACATACGCCACGTCTCCCGTGCGCAGCCAGCCGTCTGGCGTGAGCGTGGCTCCTGTCGCCTCGGGGTTGTTCAGATAGCCTAGAGGAGAGAGGCAGCAGAAGGGTGGAGTGAAAGAGAGCGTCAGAAGAGGGATGAGAAACTCCCCCGCCCCATCCACATACGCCACGTCTCCCGTGCGCAGCCAGCCGTCTGGCGTGAGCGTGGCTCCTGTCGCCTCGGGGTTGTTCAGATAGCCTAGAGGAGAGAGGCAGCAGAAGGGTGGAGTGAAAGAGAGCGTCAGAAGAGGGATGAGAAACTCCCCCGCCCCATCCACATACGCCACGTCTCCCGTGCGCAGCCAGCCGTCTGGCGTGAGCGTGGCTCCTGTCGCCTCGGGGTTGTTCAGATAGCCTAGAGGAGAGAGGCAGCAGAAGGGTGGAGTGAAAGAGAGCGTCAGAAGAGGGATGAGAAACTCCCCCGCCCCATCCACATACGCCACGTCTCCCGTGCGCAGCCAGCCGTCTGGCGTGAGCGTGGCTGCTGTCGCCTCGGGGTTGTTCAGATAGCCTAGAGGAGAGAGGCAGCAGAAGGGTGGAGTGAAAGAGAGCGTCAGAAGAGGGATGAGAAACTCCCCCGCCCCATCCACATACGCCACGTCTCCCGTGCGCAGCCAGCCGTCTGGCGTGAGCGTGGCTGCTGTCGCCTCGGGGTTGTTCAGATAGCCTAGAGGAGAGAGGCAGCAGAAGGGTGGAGTGAAAGAGAGCGTCAGAAGAGGGATGAGAAACTCCCCCGCCCCATCCACATACGCCACGTCTCCCGTGCGCAGCCAGCCGTCTGGCGTGAGCGTGGCTGCTGTCGCCTCGGGGTTGTTCAGATAGCCTAGAGGA